TAATAATTATTAATATAAATAATAATTAATATTTTAAACATTGTCATAGTCCAAGGGGTTAAACACCGATTAAAAGACGTCGTTGTCATAGCGATCGCCAGTTCGATAACTTTACGAATTCTAATAGAAAACTGTATAATGTTGCAACGGTTATTTGTGCAATGAATGATTCAAAAGTCTATTCAATGCGCACGGTTCGGCGCAAGCGGTTGATAGTTCGAAATATTTCATTTTTCCTGTGCACGAACCATGAACAAGTATTATAGCAACGCTACGGAACCAAGGAAAGTTACGGAACTTCTCGGACTCAACCGAATACCACCGTCGTGTCTGCAGCTTATGTTGCCACATAATTAACGTGATTGATTTCACGCGCGTATCTCTTTTCGCTCTCGTGGAGTGAAAAAGAAGAAAAGAAAAGAAAAAGGAAGTCCATCCACATCTGGCCGGAGTTTTATACGGTTCTCAACGAAGCAGCAACAAGGGAGCCATGTTTTTCGCCCGTTAATTATATCCCCGTTTAATTATCCAATTGTTGAACTGTTCGCGGAAAGAATGCAACCGTTGTCCGTTGTAACAGACCGGCGGGACTTTTTATGGGGGAAAATGCAATCGAATTTCGCGTTCGAGGATCGCGCGAAACTCGATTACGCGAGAACTTTATTTCCACTTTTAATAAAATCACGGACTTTCTAAACGGAGAGTCTCCGCGTCCGATTAAGAACAACGAAGCGAAACAATCTTCGCGAATTTTCAACGGCTTACCAGATTTTCTCTACCGTTTTCATTCGAGCTGTAACACTCGACCGATGATTTTTTTACAATCCTTCGCGCGAAAGCTACGTTTGTTCGAGCGAAATGGAAATCGGAAATTCGCGAGAAATCTGTTCGATATTTCCGTCACGGTTCTAAACGTTGAATCGACCGAATTAAAAAATTGTTCGTCGTCGTCGTTGTCGTTTCCTTGGAAGACCGAATTTCCTGTCTATAGATCCTTTTTTGCTTTTACCCCGACACAGAGAGACGTGCGCAATTTATTTTTTTTATTTCGGTGTGCAATTTATCAAAGAGTCTCGGCCGTTCGGTAAACACGTATCATTATCATTATCGAGAGACGGCGAAAAAGGTGTCGCGAAAATTATCAGAGTGTGGAGGAGCGACGCGCTCGAACGATATTACAGGGTGTCCCGAAAATGTCTCGCAATCCGGAAATGGGAGGTTCCTGAGGCCATTTGAAGCAACTTTTTCCTTTGCGAAAATGTTCTCCGAGGCTCCGTTTACGAGTTATTAACGAGAAACACTGACCAATAAGAGGCGAGCCCGGCTGGCGCGCGGCGGCCCAGTCAACGCGCGCACGGAGTCCAGTCCCGCTCATTGGCTCGGTCGTCTCGCGCCGAACGATCTCGCCTCCGATTGGTCACGGTTTTTCGTTAATAACTCGTAAACGAAGCCTCGGATTGCATTTTCGCTAAGGAAAAAGTTGCTTCAAATGACCTCAGGAATCCGCTACTTTCGGATTGCGAGACATTTTAGGGCAACCTGTATATCGGCGTTCACAGTTTTCCGGACACGTCGGCCCGGTTTGTCCGATTCGAGAGAACCGTTCCGACTGGTCTCGTGCTCGCTGTTGTTTGACAATTAACTTTTTGCCGATGACTTCGCGTCACGCCTCCCTGGAAAACCGGCGGAGCCCGTTTCGCTTTAATTGGATCGAATGAAATTAACGTTGGACACCGCGACTCGCGATATATTCCCATCACCTCTCCCCTCCCCTCCTTCCTCCTTCCTCCCGTCGAAGAATTAGTCCGCCCTTTGTCTTCGGTTAGCGGCTGGATTGCCGTTAATAATCGCTTAATTCAGCTCGAAGATGAAATGCTCGCGGCTTACGGGGGATTTGCTTTCGGCGCCGCTGCGCTCTGGCGTGGAATTGTTTAGCTAACGATCGTGAGATTAAGCGATAAAGCGCGACCGATGGCGTAATTAGTTCGCTGCGTTATACTTTTGCCTTCGTCGTTGCACCGGATCGAACGCGGATCTCGTCGCGTTGTCTTCGGAAATTCCTCGGACTTCGCGGAATCGTTTTTGATTACAATACTTTTCGCATCGAATTGCAATGGAAAAATTAACCCTTTGCACTCGAAGCTATTTTAATTGTATTTGAAACGTATTTTCCGATCTATGATGTTTCCATTTTGTATGATTTATTGCGATTTATGCATACGAAAGTCTATTTGGCGAGTACAAAACTTGCAATTTTAAGAGTCTTTTAGATGTAAACGAGTCTGATGCTGTTACAATTATTTTGACAAAATAGTATAACAATTTTTAGCGGCGCCTCGGAGTCGCCACGCGAGTGCAAAGGGTTACGCTGCACGATATCGATCGTGTTATCGATCGTTTTATCGATCATTGGATTTTAATAAATAAAATAATTAGGTAAACATAATGGATTTATTTTTAGATCCGCGAGCAAATAATCCGGTCAGCTAAACTGTTAAATGGAATTATTTTATTAGGCCAAGAGAATGTTATTTAAAACGTCATCAATATTTTGCACTCGAAGCTATTTTAACTTCGGAATACAAAAATTTCCAGCCGATCTGGAAAATTGCGTAAACAAGGAAACGTGAAATTTAGCTCGTTCATTGAATATTATTATACATATATATTATACATATTTGTATTTATTTACTTATTTGCTTATATGCACGAGTACAAAGCGATTTATACAAAAATGAATAATTTAACGAAAATGAAAGCAGAGCTTGTAATAAATGGCGGAATATCGATGAATCGAACAAACAGCTTATAAAGTCTTGTTTTCAAAGTTAGCAACACCGGATGCAAATATGTTGATCCATACAATATTACAAGCTTAATAATCTCTTCAAAAAATTTATCGCGTATTTGCAAACACCTTGTAGATTGTGTTTAATAACTATCGAAAGTCGTTCGGTTTTTAAATAGGATTAATATCGTTTGATAGAAATGTAACATAGAAAACTGGCGTATAATGCATTGGCCTCTAATCAGCAGCGTCTTATCAGTGCCGATATTTTCCTCCGATTTCAATGCGTCATTCATTCGGAGCCCACATCATCGTGACCTCTCTATGTTCCCTATCACTTCCTCCTCTAATTTTAGAACCCTTAAAAATCTAGAACGTCTCTCCGATTCTGAAATTCAGGTCCGCTCCCACGTTCAGCCTGGTTTCCAGTCCGATATCAGTTTCGATTCATTGGATACGCCGAAACAATCTTTTCTCTTAATTGGTTGCGATCATCTTTATCCTTTCTTTTTTTTTTGTAATTCCAAGTAATAATGAAATTTAAAGAAAACTGCATTTCAGTCTTTGTCCTGTAGATTAGTGCCTCTATCGACTAGAAAAAGCGTTCAAGTCGATTGGTCTAGTTTTGAAAAATTGATTGCGTTTTTAAAGATGTACGAACAATTTTGCGGAGATTTTTGTATTAATAATATGTTTGTATTTTTTGTTAAATCTTTGAGGCACAGAGGATTTCAGAAAATAAAACAGACCCACGTTGCACAGAAATTTTGTCGCGTTTCAAGTTAAACAAAATTGGTACAGTTTTGATTATCAAAGGAATCACAGAATATATATAAAAACAGAAAACATAATAATAATAATAATAGAATTCAGTTCGTTCTATGTATTATAGGGGGTGGGATTTAAATAGTCCAACCGTGCCACATGGGTTCATTTATGCGCACGCAGCTATTGCAATATTTCGAGGGGTGGGTTTAAAAATGTCCCGAAATTTCAGAATATTATTAATATAATTTTTGCTTTCACTAAAATTACAATTTCAATAGCTAATGGTCGCTTCTTTCTACGCGCGACGAGTATACTCGTCGTGACACAAAATACGATAATTTCTCCCTAATTCGTAAGATCAAGTACGAAATAAATAGCAACGCGATCAAACTTATTTTTTAACAGTTCGTTCAACAATTTCGACATATCTTCGCGACGTTCTTTCGGCATTTCCTCGAGCGAGACGTCACCGTCACCGACGTCGCAAATTATTATCGATAGAGTTCGTCCCTAATTACGCTAAATCCTCCCCAATTTTCCTCCAGGACAAGTCCTCATTTCTATAATCGTCAACTATAATTATTTCTACAATCGCCAACTACAATCATTTCTATAATCGCCGACTATAATCATTTCTATAATCGCCAACAACTATAAAAACGAGCCTCAAGGCTCGAACAATCTCACCTCCTCCCCCTCAAATCATCCCTTTCGCACCTAATCTTCCCGCGAATCAGGTCGAAATCTCAGCACCGCTCCCCAACGAGTATACTCGTCGTGACACAAAACACAGTAATTTCTCCCTAATTCGTAAGATCAAGTACAAAACAAATAGCAACGCGATCACACTTATTTTTAACAGTTCGTTCAACAATCTCGACACATTGTTACGACGTTCTGTCGATATTTCCACGAGTCACCGACGTCGCCACGTCGCGAATTATTATCGATAGAGTTCACCCCTAATTTTCCTCCGGCTTGTCCTCATTTCTATAATCGCCAACTATAATCATTTCTACAATCGCCAACTATAATCATTTCTACAATCGCCAACTATAATCATTTCTACAATCGCCAACTGTAATCATTTCTATAATCCTCAACAACCATAAAAACGAGCCGCAAGGCTCGAACAATCTCTCCTCCTCCCCTCAAATCATCCCTTTCGCACCTAATCTTCCCGCGAATCATATCAAAATCCCATCACCGTTCCCCGACGAGTATACTCGTCGAACCCATCGCACCATAACATCCACCATAACATCCACCATAACATCCGCCAATCATAATCCCGAACGTAATCCAGCAAGCGAGAGAGAGAGAGAGAGAGAGAGAGAGAGAGAGAGAGAGAGAGAGAGAGAGAGTCGCCGCGGGAAAGTTCAAAGGCATGACCTCTGTCCCTTATCGCCGCGACTAACTCGCAAAATCCTGTTGGTTTTCGCAGCGCGAACGGGAGGGCGCCAGTATCCAGCAAGCCGCCCCTGCCTCCACAGCCGCCCCGCGTCGGGGCGCTGAGCTCGAGACCGTCGACGGGCGCGTCGTCGTCGGCGTCTTCGTCGCGCCGACGCGCGGCCACGGACCTTGGAAATCCGGCGGCCATCGAGATGGCGAGAGCCCGTACGATGCAGGCCGCCCAGGAGCGTCCGGTCGGCCTGCTCGAGACCGACCTCGACGAGGCCGTGCCGTCGACGACGACGACCACCGCCTCAGTGACCGCCGCCGGCAAAAAGACCAGGAGCCTGCTCAATCTGAATCACACCTCGACCGCCCCGCGACCCAGGCCGGAGCACGCCCTCCACGTACCCCAGTCGCCCGTCGGCGCTTCGCACAGGAGCCCCCAAGACGACGACACCGCGTCCACCATCAACCAACGGCCACACAAATCCATGGAGTTCCTCCTCGACAAGGAGAACCTGCATTTCGTCAAGGTGAGTACCTTGGAATCCGTACCTCGAACGTCGCGGCCACGGTCAGACCGGACAGAGACCCCCGCCGTTCACCCAAAGCTCGTCGGCTACCATCTCGGAGCCGCCGTCTCCGGACGGGACGTTCCCGAAGATGTTGAGATCTCACGCAGCTGCGTCCGCAGATCCGCTCGGATTCCCCTTTTTAGAATCGTCCGTGTCTAACGTTCGCGAGACTGTGTTTACGATCGCCGGTTGTCTGTGCGAGATTAGGGGTGTTTTAGGTCGGGTTTAGGGGAGCGGGTTGGACACGTCTCCGGACGAGGCGTGACCTTGTAACGGAGCCGGGGCCGATGTAGGTTAACGTCGCCGGAACGGCTCGGGGGATAACGATTGTCGCAAAGGCTCTCCGCCGGCCTAGGCGTCGACCTGCGTGGAATCGTCGATTAGGGTTGTCTACGCGGTCCTACGAAGCTGTTTAGGGAATAGCTACGGTGTGAACGATCGATCGATCGAACCTTCGGCTCCCGTCGATCGCGCCGCCTCGTTGATTACGCTGCCGTCGCTCCGGACGTTTTACTCCCCGGAGTAACCTTGAATCTCGGCTCGCGCCGCGAAATTAGCTGCCTCCCGGACCACGAGTATTGATCAGATAAGTGGCTGGATCGCTCTCCGCGAACGTTCGTCGCGCGGTTTCCGTCGCGGAACGGCCGACCGACCCGTCGAACACGAGGAAAATCGTCGGCAGGGAATTTTTTTTTGTGTTCTCTCGCGGAGAGCCGAATCGCGACGGCCCCGCTGATCGCGCCGCGCAGCCCACGCTGGATCGACAATTTAATTAGGTCCGGGTAATGAACAGGCTGTTAACAATGGCTCGCGATACGCCTCGGATACGGCACTCGCGAGCAGGAGAGGGTGCTACCGGTGCTACGCGGCGCTCATCGATAAACACGGTCGCCGGTGTTAACGCGGCTCATAATGATTTTATTTTGAAACGGTGTTGCTATTATTAACCGTTCCACGGTCTTTGGCGTGCACGTCGCTTCGCTGTTGGTCGGAGAACAGGTCGCATTGGCTCTGGGAATTTTGCGACGGTGACTGGGAACTTCTTTCGGCGTTCGCCGATCTTTCTCCGGGCGGCCGCGTCTCGATTCGTCAATCGCGGCGAGCGAATGCTCGGGGGATCGCGCTGGGTGCGACGTACGCGCGATCGAGGGAGCGAGGAATGTCTTCTGACTCGTTTTTTTAAACGTGATCAGAGTATTTTGTACGCGTTTTCGATCGGTTTTTGTAATCCCGTTGTTTCGAGACGGCGTCGCTGTCGTCGAGAACAATTTTCAGCATTTTTGCTGCGATGCTTTCGTGACGGTAACTTCGTTTTCGAAACGCGAAACTCCGATTTTAAAAGTGAATAAATATAAAAAACATTGATAATGAATGTTGGACGAGATGTTGCAATTTTATTATAAATTTGAAAGTCATTTATTTCTATTCACGTTGCAAAAATATGATATAATGTAGCAATATTTTCGTGGTTTCTCGAATATTTATTTTCATCTTTTTTTATAGTCAATTTAATGTATTAAATATTGAATTAGTCACGAACGAAGAAAATGTACTGTTGATTGCCTCAGCAAGAATTATTGGGTTGGCAACTAATTGCCGATTTGTTCAATGAAATAAAAAATTTTCTTTTTACTTGGAACGAAGTTTAATCTGTAATGTATTTTCCATTTTGACCGATGACCTTTTGCCGTTTCTCCGACAACTTGAAAATTCCACGCTCGTAGAAAGTCCGATCCTTTTCGGCCAAAAACTGAGTTAAGTGAGATTTTACAGCGTCGTCGTCGTTAAAAGTTTTACCACGAAGGGAGTCGTCCAGGGATCGAAATATGTGGTAATCCGATGGCGCGAGATCAGGGCTATATGGCGGGTGTAACATCAATTCCCAACCAATATCCATCAATTTTTGCCGAGTGGACAAAGACGTGTGCGGCCTGGCATTGTCCTGCTGGAAAATGACACCTATACGATCGACCAATTCTGGTCGCTTTTCCTTGACCGCTGCATTC